GCCGAGGGCCAGGAGGTCTCCCCTCAGCCTCCTCTTCTCCAGACTGAACCCCCCCAGTTCCCCCAGCCGCTCCCCAGCAGACCTGTGCTCCAGACCCTGCCCCAGCTCCGTTGCCCTTCTCTGGCCACGCTCGAGTCATTCAATGGCCTTTTTGGGGTGAGGGGCCCCAAACTGAACCCAGGAATTGAGGGGCGGCCTCCCCAGTGCCGAGCCCAGGGCTCAGATCCCTGCCCTGTCCCTGCTGGCCACGCCAGGGCTGGTACAAGCCAGGATGCCGTTGCCCTCCTTGGCCCCCTGGGCACACTCTGGCTCATTCTCACCCCCCCAGTCCCTCTCTGACCGGCAGCTCTCCAGCCGCCCCTCCCCAGGCCAGTAGCCCCCCTGGGGGTTGTGGCAGAACCCAGATTCATCCTCACCATCTCTCATTCTCCTTTCACAACCATTAGCAGTTGCTCCCGTGAGCATCCCGTGGTGGTTTGCTGCTCGCCACCACTCAGGTAGGGTTGATGCAGGGACCTGGAGGTCTTCTCCAGCAGGACTTGAGCCCCGCTGTCCCTCCCCATTACATGATTGTCACTGGAGCCTCACGCAGGGCAGCATCTCTTCCTACCAAACCACGTGCCCGCCAGCACACCCACTCACTCCGATCCCGTTTTTGGGAGAGGTGCGAGGTTTCCCGGCAGGTTTGGGTGGTGGGGCTGCATCGGCCGCTGCTCCTGCGCGCTAATTGTGCCGGGCAGCGTCGGAAACAAGCTGTGCTTGAACCTGCAAGCCTGAGGAGGCCGTTTCAGCTGCAAGATAAATGGATATCTCGGAGCAAGTGGCAATTAGCGTGGGTAAAGAGCCCCTTAGTGACTGTCCCTTACATAACACCTTTGTTCCAGGCCCTTCACTTCATATTCAGTTTGTAAATAAACTTGACTCCCAGTTTTACTGGGGCCTTTATTCCCTCTTTATTTTATTTTATTATTCTTTTAACCCGGCGAAGAACGAGCCGATTGTTCGCCCGCGGGGAGACGCGGCGCTTTGAGGCGCTGCCCGGCCTGGCGTTGCCCGCTCGCCCCGAAACGGGCGCCGGCAGCAGCGAACAACAAAGCCACCCACGCGGCCGCCATGCCAGCGATTTTAATTGCTTTGCCCCCACTGATGGTGCCCGGAGGCTCATTACGCTGCCGGCGATGAATGAGGGCCTGAAAACGGAGCTTCGTAATTGCAGTGGGTCGAAGGCAGTGGGGGCTTTCATTGGGGGGGTGGGTTGATGGCGAGGCTGAGCTCTGCTCTCCAAGTCTGGGCTCGTGGAGGGAGTCTGGGGGACTCTGGACCAGCCCCAACGCAGGGACCTGTCTCTAAGTCACGCCATGTCCTTGTCACTGCATAACCCGCCGCTCCCGGGAGGCTTTGTCTGCACCCATGGGTGGCCTCTGCCAGCCTGGCGCTGAGAGGACACTCCGAGGCACAGCGGGGTGTGCCTTGGTGGATTTGGGGTGCCCGGTGCCGAGTTTGGGCACGCCACGGGGAGCGGGGCTCGATGGCTTTTCCGCCTTTAACCTGTCCGCTCAAGCTGTGGTTTGCTTTCACCAGCTCCTTTCCCAAAGCGCGGGGGCTGCTTGGGGAGTTACCAAGATGTTTAATACCACAAGCAGTGGCTTTTCCTCCACTGTCTGGGCTCTTCCCTTGTCGTGGCACATTGCTGCCAGTCCTTCTAACGGCCCGGCACCAGTACCGGCAATGCTGTGCCGCGATGGGAAGGCGTCGGGCGCTGCTCTTTGTTCGGCGCGGGGATGGTTGGGCCCCTGCTCCTCTCCTGAGCCTTCCCTCTCCCATATGGTGCCCATTATTAGACGTGTGCACCAGCCTCGTCTGACAAGGAGCTTTACAGGTGTCGCTCGGATAACGATTCACACTCTAACGAAGGTGGGAAAGATGATTAGCTGGCTTTCTATCAAACCGCACACGGCATCAGCTGTTCCTGGGGGTGGGGAGGTGGTGGGGGCTGTGGATGTGTAAGGACACGTACGCCGGGAGCTTGGGGAGCCCGGGCTTTGTCCTGCGTCTAATTCCAATGGACTCTCAGGCACTTCTTTGTGTGCCTTAGTTTCCCCAGCTGTAACAGAGAGATGTTGTTATTGCTTTCCCTTGTAAAACACCCTTTGAGCAGCTGATTGAGCTCCTGCATTAGCAAGAGGTGATTTAGGCAGGTCTCTTGGCAGCTGGGCTGCCGCGGGAGAGGGCAAGGGAGCTGTTAGAGTCGGGGCTCTCGGGGGACAAGGCGGGGGGGAAGAGGTGGAAACATGAATTAAATGAACCCCCTGGAAGCGGGGATGCGGTGCGGTGTGTCTGGAGCGGGGCCCGCAGGCTGCGAGAGCCCCGTGGCGTGGGGAAGAGCTCTCTGGTGCCGGTGTGGCGCCGGCAGGCGGGCAGGGCTTGCTCCACGCAGATGTGTCCGTGCCCTCCCCTGCCTGCATCGTGCTGGGGAGGGGGGGGGGGGCTTGGGTTTTTCCTGCTGATGTATTTTAAATAACGGCTTGTTTAGGTCCCAGCATCCCTGAGTCCAACACACACACACACACGCACCGTGCACCCCAACCCCTGCGAGCCAGCAGGACTTTTTCTCCAGCTCTTTCCACATCTTGAATATTGTTGGAGAGAAGGGCAAAAGAGAAAATGAGGATAAAATGAGTTTTTCTCAGCTGTCCTTTGCTCCCGGGCGGGGAAAGCAGTGCTGTCTCGCGGTACATCTCCCCGCGTCAGGCTGCGATCTGAGGGTGAGCCCTGCTTTGAAAAGTGACGGAGCAGAGAACTCCCCGCAGGGCTGAGGGAAACTGAGGCCCAAGAGGTGTCTGGCACCCAAACCACCCTCGAAGCAGAAGAGGTGTGAAGGCGGGGTGCTCACCCGAACTCCTCGTGCCCTGCCAGGGTGCGATCATCACCCAGGCACCGCAGCGACCCGCCTGTCCCGGGACGGGCACCCAGAGCAGCGGGCAGAGCCGGCGCTGCCTCTCCCCGAGCTAGCGGGGCCGGCGGGATTATCTGCTTAGCTGCACCATCTGTTCGCCAAACTGCCATCATTATGTTCAACTTGGGAAGAAAACGGCCCCTACAGAGAAGCAATTTGTTCGCTGACTAAACCTTTCAGGCTCTCGCCGTCCAAACCTACCCTCGCCGCTGCACGGGCGAGCTCTCCGCTCGCGTCCGGCTCGCTTAAACAATCTGCGGGGAGAGTGGTGGAGCGCAAGCTGGTCGTGCTGGTAAATGGGAGCGGGGAGGGCGCAGGGCTCCCCTAATCCGATTACAAAACATAACAGCCTTTCAGAGGGGCCGGGGGGGCCGGGCGAGGGGAGGAGGAGGGAGGTCCATTTCACACCCGACCCCTACGTCTGGGGGTCTCGCAATGATCTCACTGGAGGGGCTTTTCTTCCCGTCGCAGTGGGTTGCTTTTGAAACGTGCTGCGAGGAGATCAAAAAGGGGAAAGGGGCTGCCTGGGAAAGAGGAGGAGAGGGCTGGGAAGGGGGTGAGGTGGGAGGGGGGAGAGCAGGGCTTGGTGGTGATGAGTGATTGGCACCCCACTCGCTGGGGCACGGGCCCTTGTGCTGCATCTCTTGCATGTCCCTCCCCTGCGACGTGGCACCAGGGAGCGGTGCGTGTCACGGGGGCACGGGCACGTGGGACCTGTCCTCCCCTCCAACCTGCGCGGGGAGTGGGGTTGGGGTCTCTGCACGGAGCGGGGACAGCAGAAACCCTCCCCAGAGCCTGCGGTGGCAGCGGGAACGAGGCCCCGTGGCCCATTTCCCTGTGTTTTGCCGTGGAAATCAGGGGGCACAGAAGCATTTAGCAAATGTGTGGATGTCACCAGGTTTTCTGTAATGAACAACTGAAACTGGGAAGTTAAAGTGGTGGTTTGACTTATATCAAAGCGAGATGTTTAGAATTTCTGCTGGGGAGCAATGCTTCAGACCCCCCATTTTCTCTAATTTGATTTAATTCCTTTTAGAAGGGATAAAGAGCCCTGTTTGAAAGTGACTTTTTGTGGTCAGACTACAACGAAATTTTTTTCTTTTTTTTGTGCATATTTGGTGCAACCATATAGAAAAATAATCTGTGTTTCAACAGGAGCAGATATTTAAACAAGATGATCCCAAATGTGGCCACTTCGGGTGGGCAAACCGCTCGCCCCAAACCTTGCCATGCTGGCCCTGAACCCCCTGTCCCCTCTGCGTGGCATGGGGCTGTGGCCCCCTCCCCGGGGGACAGCGCTGGCAGCTGGGGACACTGCGCCCACGGGAACCCCACATGGCGAGCGCCGGAGTCTGGCACCGGAGGTGTGAAAGCATCTGGCAGCCGCCCCTGGGCTCGCGGGTGGTGGGTCCCCCCCAGGCCTCCTCCCACCGGGGACCCCCAGCGCAGCCACCATCACCCTGCCAGGAGCCCTTTGGGGCTGTGCCCCTGCTCTGGGTGCTGTAGGATCCCCCCCTTGGGATCCAAGCTGCTCATGGGCAGGAGTTTTGGGGGTTGCTGCCCACACGTGGGCAGGCAGGCAGGGCAAGAGCCTCTCTGCGGGGCAGGGGGAATGTGGAAATGGGGTGCTGGGGGCTGCCAGGGGTCCTGGAATGTGGGGGGACCTGGGGGCTGCAATGACATGGGGAGTATCCCTCTCCCAACGGGGCTGAGTGTTGGGGGGCACTTTCCTGTTTTGAGGAGGGGGCTTTTTCTTGGCCCCAGTCCCCAGTGCAAAGCAATGAGTGATAAAGGGAAGGTGAGGGGGTCACCCCTGTGATGGGGACACCAGTGTCACCATGGTCCTGCCCCTGGGTGCTGGCACACTCTGGTGCCTCAGGGCAGGGGGGACACAACAAGGATGAAACCCACCCCATGGCCATCAACTGTTGGGGTGAAGGGGGGTCCTGGGGGCTTCACTTTCCTCCTGGAAAGAAACCTGAGGGGAACTCAGCCAGGAGAGCTGGGGAGGACCTGTGGGAATTCACCACCAAATCCTGAAGCCACAAGAGATCAATGTGTTTTAATTGTGTGCAAAAGTGCCTGTAGAAAGTCTCTGCTGCTCTCTGTGGAGGCTGGTACACCCCGTCCCCGACACAGCCCCCCCTTGTTGCCTTCCTCTCTTTGGAGAGCAGTAGATGGGGAAACTGAGGCACAGAGCAGCGAGGGGAAGTGGCTGAGCCAAGTCTGGACACCCCAAGGTGTCCCTGGAGCAAGGCAGGTCACTCCCACAGCGAGCACCCGTATCGCTGCAGCACCTCTTCACCCTGCAAGGGCCCGGGAGCACCCAACAGCCCCCAAAACCTTTGGGCCCAGGAGTCAGGTCCCACATGGGGCCAAGCCTGGCTGTCCCCTGAGCAGGGTGCTGGGAGGTTCAGGCTGCCCGGCGCTGGCGATGCTGGCGGAGGGTTTTGGTGCAGGACCTCACCAGGGAGGGGTCGGGCTCATCAGACCAAGGTGCTGGTGGCTGGCTCCTTTCTGCTCACCCTGCGGTTACACCCGTCCTCGGGCACCTGTGCCAACGCAGAGACACGGAGAGGGGCAGGAATGGGCCCCGCCTGGGGCAAATCAGGGCTTGATGGGGGGGCCTGGGGGGTTCGGTGAAGCTCTGTCCCACCTGCTGCAGGAGGAGAGTGGGTATCGGCAGCCGGGTAAGCATCCAACCTCCGCAGCTGCCTGAGCCCCCTAAACCCTTTTTATTTCTACCAGCAAACCCCCAGCTTTACCTCCCAGAGGACCGTGTCTGCCGGGTCCCGCGTGGCCGGGGGAGACCTCAGCCCCTTCATTTTCAGGACGGCTCCTGAGGATGCCGAAAACCGGGCGAGGGCGTCTGAGAGCGGGGCAGCCGGCCCAGCTCGGCTCCTCTCGCCGGGCTTCCCCTGACATCTAGCGGCAGCTAGCCGGTGGGCTACCGGAGCCCCGGCCCCGGGGGGGCAGCTCCGACCCCAACCGCGGCCCTGGGGGGGTTGTGCAGCGCCGAGCACCGCTGGGCTCTGCCCGCCGTGGCTGATGGCGAGGGTCCGCTTTGGGCTTGCTCCTGCTTTTTCCCCCCAAATCCATCAATTCTCCTGCCCCTTGTTGCCCTCCCACCGGAGGCAAAACTCACCCGTGAGGCAGCCCCCGAGCGCGGCGAGCAGCAGGGTGACGGGCAGGGCGCTGAGCTGGCAGAGCGCCTGGTCCGGGGCTGTCCGGCTGCCTTGGGCCACCAGCGGGAACACGAGCTCCAGCCTAGGGATGGGTTTTTTGGGAGCTTGTTCCCCTAGGCAGGGAAACGGGGAGCTCTGCTTGTGGCTCTGGGTGATGTGCTATAAGGGGGTGCTGGAACAAGGGGGCATCCCCAATTTCAGGGGTTGCAGTGGCTCCAGTTTGGCGCATGAAGCCGCTGGCAACCCCGATTCTGGCCCATCTCACCTGCCACCGTAAGCATCTGCGGTGGCCAGTGCTGCCAGCAGCGTCCCCAGCAGGGAGCCCAGGATCCCCGGCAGCCCGTGGACGTTCTGAACCCCGCAAGTGTCTTGGATTTTCAGCCTGGAGCGTAGGACGGGCTGGGGGGAGTGTTAAGGAAAAGCTGGGGTTCGGACGAGGGATCTTTGCCCGGGGAAGCCGCACCACAGCTTGGTGTAGGCAGGTTTGGGAGCTGCGGGTTGGCAATGTGGCCTCCTCCAAAGAGAGGTGGTCCCCTGAGCTGTGTCCTCAGCTGTCCCGAGGCAACTCACCGTGAAGAATCTGAAGCCAAGTGGAGGGATCAGACCAGCCAGAAATCCAGCAATGAGGGCCCCAAAGGGGGTGACCAGCATCTCCCCGGCCATACCCATCATGGCCACGCTGGCCAAGGTGGCATCCTGGAGCTGAACCTGATGGAGCAGGACATGGTCAGGGGAATTGGCTCTGTGGAGGACATAAGCATGGGGCTGGGGAGATTTGGACTTCCTCAGGGATCAAACTGGGTCTTAACGAACTTAAGAAAGCCTAACGGAGCGTATTCATGCTCATCGTTGCTGTAGGAGGGGACGTGAGCAGTGCATGAGATTTGGGTTTGTCCCAGGAAAGGACCTACCATCCGCAGCATGCCCTCCGCGTGGAGGACAGGCCAGAGCACGAAGGTGGCCAAGGTGCTCGCCGCCAGGGAGAAGTAGGTGTTGAGCACTGCCCAGGGCTCGGCGGCGTCACGGGCGGTGGTGGCTGAGGTGAAGCTGGGCCAGAAGATCCACAGGAAGATTGTTCCTGCAGGGAAGGGGAACAGGAGGGTTTGGATGCTGGAGGTTGATCCCTCATGGGAAAGAAACTTCTGGCTAGTGCCAAAAGACATAAGTGGCCACACCAGCGGTTCAGGTTGGGCACAAGGAAAAGCTTTGTCCTGGAGAAGGTGGTGCAGCCCCAGGACAATCCCCAGGGAGGTGGATGGTTTGTAGGACTCTGCTGATCAAAGCCTCAGCCACACTCTCCTGGTGTCAGCGACGCTCCTTCCACCACCACGTCTATGACTCCAGGTTGTAGGGTTCAAGATCCTTACCAACCACAGCGAAGAAATCTGGCTGGTGCCCCGTGTCCTGCTGCTCCTTCCTCTTCTCCATATGAGGCTCGTGCAAGATCCGTGAAACCATCAAACCGAAATAAGCACCGAAGGTGTGAACGGTCAAGGAGCCCCCGCTGTCCCTCACCTGGTGAGTACAGAAAACCACCGTGCAGGAAGAGGGGATACGGGATTTGTCTCTACAGCAAGGCAGGTCCTAAAACCACGGTCACCC